CTACTATGACGTGGGAAAATACCCGAACAAAGCTGAAGGCCATACATATATATATACATATATACATATATACACATACATACATATACATATACATATACATATACATATACATATACATATACATATACACATACATATACATATATATATATATATATATATATCATATATATCATATATATCATATATATCATATATATATATCATATATAACATATATAACATATATAACATATATAACATACATAGATACATACATACATATATATATATATAACATATATATATGATATTCAGCTTTGTTCGGGTATTTTCCCATGTCATTATAGCTGAATACCATACATGTAAGTATATATATATATGTTTTCTTAAGTTTTTGCGGGTACTTACATGTATGGTATATAAAAGTCATGAAGACTTATAGAAAAAGATATGTTTTGGATGGACTTTATAGTTCCCAGACTTGAATGTTGTTACACCTCTGTGAAGAGGTCTAAAACAGGCAGTGCGTGCAAGGAAAACCTAGACATATTTGTGAACTAGAAGAATTTAAGAATGGAAAATATTTCAAAACAGAAAGCCGCTTATCTCGCTATAGAAAATGTGTTATCTCTGCCAAAGATGACAAATTCTGCTGCACCTGTGAAATTCATTGTATTCAAAGACATGTCATTGCAAAGAAGGGTAGTTCTCAATTAACTGAACTTCAGGGATATACAAAAGAATAGTAAAAGCAAAAGAGAAACCACGGGCAAGGACTTGAAATTTCTCTGGTGATCGCTTAGCATAATTGGTGATAAGTCCCGATTTGGAGTTAAGAGGCGAAGAAAAAAAGAGGAAAGAGAATGGAGTAGGAATTTGAACAGGAGATTGTTGCAGGTGCCATTTCTGATAACTTATTCATGTCTCTCTTTTTCTCTTTTAATTGCTATTTATTTAGTATTTATTTCCCTATCTGTTCCTCTGACTTTTTTCTTTGATTTGTTTCAAAGATCACACACTGGTGAAAAACCATTCAAATGTTCTCAGTGTGGAAGAGGCTTTGTATCAGCCGGAGTGCTAAAAGCGCATATTCGAACCCACACTGGATTAAAAGCATTCAAGTGTCTTATATGCAATGGAGCTTTCACCACTGGAGGCAGTCTGCGGAGGCACATGGGCATCCACAATGACCTTCGGCCCTATATGTGTCCCTATTGTCAGAAAACATTCAAAACCTCATTAAATTGCAAAAAACATATGAAAACGCACAGGTTTGTCTATCTTGAAATTCAGTCCTGAATTATAATTCATTCCAGTTGTTACACTGTGCTCTTTTGAAATTCTGTAGGACCTGTCAGTAAATTCAAGTTGTTGAAAGAACTTTTTTCCCCCCAGAGACTGGGAACCTAGGTTGAATTACAAACAACTATTTTAATGAGTAGATTGGTTTAAAAGTGAAAATACAGACTGAGAAAAAGCAAAAAGTCTCATTATCACTTGATTTTTAAATATATTTATTGTGGGAATAATATAAGTAGTTAAATATATTAGTTTCTCTTAGCTTCATTTTATTTAGTATTTAGAAGATTGTTAGAATTCTTTATTGGCCAAGTGTGATTGGACACACAAGGAATTTGTCTTGGTGCAAATGCTCTCAGTGTACATAAAAGAAAAGATACATTCGTCAAGAGTCAAGAATCATAAGTATTTAGTACTTTCAAGTTTATAGTGTAGCAGAAGTAGAAATGTGGGCAGATTGGAGGAATTCAGGAAGTAGCTCAAATTAGATATATTGAGCGATTGATTATACTACATCAAGTTTGTGTCAGTTCTTGGGAACCTTATAAATAGATTTTCTCCATGATTTGTCCCTAACCTAATCCTTCAGGTCTTTCAGCAGTTTACGTATTGCTGCTGTGACTGAGTCCATCCACCTTTGGTTGACCTTCCTTCCAACTTTCCCTCCACTCTTTCCTTCCACCTTTCCCAGTATTAGAGCCTTCTTTAGAGACCTATATCTTCACATAATGCATCCAAAGTGCTAATGTGTTGACATTGCAAAAGATGTTTCTTCCTTTTCTTCTAGGTATGAGCTCGCCCAGCAGCTTCAGCAACATCAGCAAGCTGCTTCCATTGACGACACAGCTGTAGATCAGCAGAATATACATGTTTCTACTCAAATGCAAGTGGAAATTGAAAGTGAAGAGTTGCAGCAAACTGAAGCTGTTGCAACAGATCAGGAAGCTATTTTAGATTTAGAACAGCAGCAGGTTGTTGACACTGAAGAAGCTGAACTCAGGCCACAATTGACTGATCAATCATTAGGTCAAGAGGAAGGTAAATTACTGAGTGTACTGATTACAGGATTAAAATCTACAGGGTTGTATCACTACGGGGGATATCAATGAGCTAAGACATGGGTGTCAAACTCATGGCGTCACGTTGCTGTCATGTGACATTTTGTGATTTTTTTTCCCCCCCTTCGCGGATCTGGGATGAGTGTGGCCTATGTGTGGTGCATTTGGCCCGTGGGCCACCAGTTTGACACCCCTGAGCCAAGGTGTTAATTAAGTATTGCCTGGATCAAGGTTTTTCCTAAGAAAAGGGATAAGTATATATTAAATTTCCAAATTCCAAATTTGGAATTTCTTTCCTTAGGAGTACTTTTTTGACAATTCAAAGATATTTTGAAGATAAATAAAATGTAAGTAATAGTTAAATGGCAGAGTTTTAAAAATATCAAAGTAGAAAATAATTAGACTTTTATAATTTCTTATTTTACTCATCATCTTTTTCCAGTTAAAGTAACCCTCAATTTAATGGATTTTATTTGTGAACTTTTGGAAGCAACAAACAGAATTTGTCCTACGTAGATATCTTTAGATTGATGTAAAATGCACATTGCAAGGGTAATATTTGTCTATACAGTGTATATTTCTATGAAATATTGTTTGCCATTCTAACCATGTGTGTCACTATTTTATGCATGGATAAAGTCACTTGGATTTAACAGACATTTTGCTTTTTGTCATTAGTCTGTTAAATCAAGTATTTCTTTTTTGTTAAACAGCTTCCGCAGCAACTGCTGAATTACTTAATGTCATTTCCTTTTCAAATATATATATTTAATTTCAGATAGATTTGTGACATCCCAGCATGCACTGCAAGAAAATATAAACCAGTTTGAGCAGGAAACTATAGTACAGCAATCATTTGATCAGCAAGGATTATCACAAGGTTGGTAAAGATAGTCAATTTAATGGTGTCAAATGGTATTTTTGTTGGACTTGAAAGCTTCATGAGCAATTTATTTCAAAATGTCATGTATAGAAGGCAGTAAGAACTCATGCAGTTGCATTGCTAGAGGCTAAAGTCCAATTTTTTTTTTTTTAAATTGCTAATCTGTGAACCTTAAAGTTTATCTTCCGTAAGTTCCGTTCAAAGGTAATCCTTTGCAGATGAAAATTCTCTTCCTGTTCTCAGAAAAAGCTAGGATCATAATAAAAGCTTCCAACATGGTAATTTCTTATATTTCCCCTCTTCTTTTCTCTCCCAGTAGTCTTCTAAAGATTTTTAGTCTTTATGTACACTGAAATAGGTTGTGCTGGGGTCTGAAGCTAGACTGATCTTCAGCGGCAATAAATGTGCATAAAATAGAAACTGCATCCAGTTTTTGGTATTTAGAATGAGAATGCATACTGAATCATTGGTGCAGTTTTTGCTTTAAAAATACTATATTTGATCAAGGACCTTAAAATGTAAATACTTAAGAATGGCTAGAGAAGGAATAATTAAAAGTCTATATTGTACACAATTCCTATTCAACTTGGAATACCCTCTACAGATTTTCCATACTTTGGAGTTTCCTTGAAGTTCCTGGAGCCCTTTAGAAATTTTGAATTTCAGGTAGGTGTGTACGGACACATGTGTTTAAAATGGTGGACCCTATCCCTTTGTCTGGGTATGTGTTTCATTCTTCCCCATTTTCCTACTAGTCAGAGAGGAAAATTCAGTTCAGGTCATTGTCTCTTTACTTCTTTGTTCTGATAGACAACATTATTCTTAAACTTGTTGATTCCATAGGAGAAATATTACCTGCTCTGTTATTAGATGATGGTTCAAGTTTGGCACTTTTCTCCTGCTGTTCCCACAGTTCTTTACATGCCCGTAGTTGTTCCTTCTTTTAGATCCATAAGGGCAAAACTCAGAAATAACACATATGTGATGTGAGGAACTGTTTGTGGAGGAAAAAGGGAGCAGAATAATAAAAACAACTTCTGTTATAACTATGATTGTTCCATTATAACCTTTTGCACCTTTCAGAGTTAGAATATATTTTCTTACTACAATGAGCCTTTCAGTTCAGTTCTGTTAATCAAATCTAAATGTGATACGATTCCATTAAAATAAAGGAAGAGTTAATAGAAATCTTAACAGCTTAACGGCTTTGACCCATATCTCATCTTTATGATGCATACATATAAAATAGTATCAATTTCAATTTCTTTAAATATTATTAAGGCTCTTTCATTAATATTTTTCATTACATAATTTTGTTTGGAGAATTATTGTATTTTCTGTTTTGTACGCAGGAGATTCTTTAGTTCTGGGAACTATTTTTGTATGAATACAAGTGCTGAAATATATAAGTTATTTTAAAATAAAATAATTGTCAGAGCACACAGGATGGAATGTTTTTATCTCTTCCATGAATACTAAGAATTAAATTGCAGATCTTTTTCTCTTTTAAACAATTGATTTTTAGACGTGAACAAAATCAACTTCTCGCTGTTTCAAGTATTATTCTCTATATAGAACAATAATTAAACGACTCACACTAATTGTGGACCCTATTATTAACCATACTGTTAAATTTGGTCTATTGTACAATGGCTTAATAAACCAGGATATAAATATACATTTAATGTACTCAATTTTGTTTGCCACTTGATTTATATAGGACATTAATCCAGATTGTGGTTTGTCAGTTTAGCAAACCCAACCGTTATAGTTTAATATTAACTTGATCACTTTGACTTTTTCAATAAACCATAGTTCAAAATTTCTGGTTTAATATTATATGCAAGCATTAGCTGAACAGATAACTCAGTCTACCTCAGGGGTGGGATCTGACAAGGTTAACTACCAGTTCGGTCATTTACGAGGTTTGGTGATTTACGATGTGCTTCCCTGCACGCTGCCTGTAAATCGTCATCAGCTGTGTGCAGAGAAGCAGCCTTTCAAAAAGCCCTTTTTTCCTGCTTTTTTAACTGTGGCTGTGCCTCGCATGGCAGCTGAAGTTGAAAAAAATCAGGAAATAAAGGTCAAGTAAGAGCCCAGGTGGGCGGGTGGGCAAAAACAGCAGCAGACATAGAACCGGTTCTATGTCTGCTGCTCTTCAGAGCTACCAGTTCTACAGAGGTGGACAGAACCGGTAGAAACCCACCCCTGGTCTACCGCCTGGGTAAGTTGATCTACCAAAATTAATTTTACAGCATGGATTTTCCATTAAATATTTACTTTCAACCATCTTCTAAGCAAAGGAAATTTTTAAAGAGTCTTAGATAGTGCCCAACATGCAGGTATTGGGGGGAGAGGGAGCTCTTTAGATTGGTTGGCTAAAAACAAAACCAATTTCCAAAGTGAAAAATAATGAGTTTCATGTAATTCCTAACAAGGTCTATCCTAAAGTAAGAGTTGAGTTGCTGGATTCCATGGCTAAATATGAGTGGTTCATCACTTGTTACATCGTGAAAGGATATCTATATCTACCCCAGCCATCAAAGATAATGTTTTGTTCAGTTATCAACTCTATACCCCCTTTAGGCTTAGATATTTAAAATCCCTATTTGAAACAACATCCCACTGAGACCCAAATCGTAGCTTGCTTTATTTGACTATAATATATAAATTGTGAACAGAATGGCTAACACTAGGCAGTTCAGCTAAAAATCCATTATATGAAGAGATCTGGATTTTATGTAAAGGCTATGTATTTATCCCAAAGTTCATTTTTTTGTATTTAATACATATGTATTTTATTATTTTCTCCTATCTAATTTATCTTTGAAATAGACCTTGTGTTTTACTTTTATTTTGTCTGACATGGTCATACTACTACTTTGGTACAACTACTACAGTAGTTGTAACAATTAACAGTCTGGGAACCGCTCATTGTGATTCTTATCTAAATTGGGCATTGTTTTGGAACCCCGACACATTCATTATTTCTAAATGTAGTTATTTTTAAATCTGCTTTAAAGATAGATTTCATATCCTGATACAAGAATTTGTTAACCACAATTTCCCCAGTTTGAACCAGTGGGAGGCTTCCTGACTGGTTTTTCAATAAATCTGACAAGCAGAAAGGGATTAAAAGGTTGTACACATAAAACTCATACCTATCCTGGTTTATGCAGCCAAGATTCCATCGTTCAAATTTGCCTATTGTGAATAATAAAAAGTCCCTCAGATTCAGCTGCCATATAATAACACTAAACAAATAATTTTCCAATCTGCTTTAAAGACTTCCGGGTCAATGGTAGCAATGGATTTTGTAACAAGTAAATATGGAAGGTTTTTGCATCCTCCCTTCACTGCATTTTCACAGTTCTTTCCTATTTTTAATGGAACTCTGTTCTTTCTAAGAAAAGGAAGCAGTAACAGGGAAACAGTGACTTCAAAGAGAGAGTGCTTTTCAATGTGCAGTGTTGCACTTGTAAATTCATTTAAAAGAAGGAACAATGCTCTAGGTTGAAGATTCAATTTGAGAAGAATTGTTGTGTGATTATTTTTTCCTTGGATTAGGGCACACACTTATGTTCATATTTGTTCCTGCTTTATTTGGTGGGTGGTAAGGAAGATAAAGGGTACCGGGTCAACCTCTTAGACACATGCATGTGTACATAAATTCAAAATTTGAATGGCTCTGAGTTAAAGGAAACTTCAATTTATGTTCTGTGGAGATTACTGTAAAAAAGAAGGAAAATGAAAGGTAAGTGATCTTAACTTTGGCTATTTAGTAAATTCTTAGAATGTTTCCACATTTGTTCTTTTCTTCTAGGTTCGGAAAAATAGAATATAGTTTCTATTTTTCCATAGCCATTATTATTAGTTCTTCATTAGATATTGCTGATTTATGGATCCCTGTTTTTCCATAGCAATATGTAGGGTTGTTTAGATGACATTATGTTGACATGACTATACAGGTTCTCTATATCATGCTATGTTTAGAGATAATCCATAGCTATTCCAAAGACATTCCAGTGATCTCTCGATTGCTATCCACAGAACAATTTTGCCAAGGTTAGATAGTCCAAATATATTCTTCATTGTCTTTCACCACTAAGTAGCCACTAATAAATGACTACCTTTACATAAAATTGATTTTAACTTGCTACATGTTCATTTCTGATTTGATCCTGATATGTATTGAGTTATATCAAATCATACATGTGATTGGCTTTTTTAATATCATTGTCATTCCATATTTTCATATAGTCTCATGCTTTGGAAACTTCTTTCTAAAGCTTCAAATTTAGCAAGCTTGATTTCCTACTTCATAATTCCAGATTTCTCTTCTTTCATGCATCTTACATTCTATGTTCCAGTTATATGTATTCTTCTAAGTAAGGAATTCCTCTTTCAGGATTATTACTATGAATGCCAGTTTGGTGTAGCAATTAAGGCATCAGGCTAGAAACCCAGATACTGTGAGTTCTAGCCTTGCTTTTGGCACAAAGCCAGCTGAGTGACATTGTGTTAGTCACTTTCTCTCAGCCCTAGAAAGGAAACAATGACAAAGTCACTTTCTCTCAGCCCTAGAAAGGAAACAATGCCAAAGAAACTGCAGAGAATTGTACAGTCAGTCTCTGATAATTGGACACAATTGAATGGAAGGGGGAAAAAATAAGGAGTTCCTCTTTCAGGATTGATACAATATGTAACTAATCTTCTTGCAGTTTTGATTTGGCTTTCTATATTTAAAGAGAAGGCCAGTCTGTACTGGGGAAAATGTGTCATCATCTGCCACACGAGCATGTTGGAACAATTTTTATATACTTGTCAGCAGTAAATAGTTTGTCATTATTTTCTTCTGGTTTCCTTTTTCCTAGATGGGCAGGCTTCCCTCATTTCTATAGAATCATACCTACACTTACCTTAATTATCCTAAGCTTCACCTTTTGATTTTATTGTTGAAGGTAATCCTAATGGAAGCTAATACATGTATGGATTAGTTAATACTAATGCTGTCAGGATCACTAACATTATTCAACTGTACCATTATATCCAGATGGTGATATGTTAGGGTTTTAAAATATGATACTATGGTGATATCACTTACATAAACTTTGAAACAATATCTCACAATCTTGCCAGGAAAGGACAAGTGAAGGATCATTGGCCAGTGCAACCAACCTTGGATCTGTCCCAGAGATCTGGAAAGGGATTTTCCTTACATTCTTATTTGCCGACTTCAAGATGCCATTTTATATGAAACATGCTAAAGAGTTCATTTAGTTAGCAAAACCTGAGTTGTAAATGGTTTTTTTGTTTGTTTTAGGTGTGTTTGTGTTACAAAAAATAGGGGGTTCTTTTATTCATTTGTATTTGTACCAGGTTTTACAGTTAATGATGGCTACAGTCAACCAAGTCAGTTTCCAGCAGTACAGCAGCTTCAGGATTCAAGCACTCTTGAATCTCAGGCTCTTTCAACAAGCTACCATCAACCAAGTCTACTTCAGGTTCCTGCCCCCGACACTATCAATGTAGTAAGTATTTATTAAAAGATTGAAGAAACTATGCTGTTTCTGATTTGGGGTTCTGGATGAGATTTTAGATGAGATTTAGATCTGTTTTTTATGTGACTTCAAGGCTAATAATAAGACAGCGCTATAGCTTTGATGGATGATCAGCATCAGGAAGTGAAAGAATTCATTTTTTGAACCTTAGTATTTAAAAAGAGCCATGTCTAGTTGGGAAGGACCTCAGAGGGATCTTTTTGGCAAGATGCAAATCCAATTAGATCATTGGATCCAATTTCAGAAGATTGTGCTGAATATAATTGCTGATTTAGATGGATTGGCTTGGTAATGGAGAACTAATAGAAGCTTAATGTGGATAAGACTTCAGTCAAAAGGCAGATATATGTTAGGAATTATTTGAGTGGATTTATTGTCCCTTTGAAGAATTAGTTATTCCAGTGTCAAAAACTGCCTTCTTCGTGATAATATTTTAGTAATGTCTATTATTTTGTATAACTAAAGTTAAGGTACCAGTTGTAATTACTTGTTTTGTATCAGATCTCTGCTAAATTCATCTCATTTGGATGATTTCCTATATTATATTGCAGTGAAATTCTTCATCAGAGCCAGTTATAAATAAGGTTACCACTACTTTATTGCAACTTTACTGGTTACAAATCTAAGCCCTGTTATGATCATAGGTGAAAACCTGTAAATAGGATATTTTAAAAATACTTTTGCCACAAACCATGCTACATCAGGCCTTTTCAGTTGCTTCTGCCAAATGCTGGAAATCTATATTTGGAACAGATGCTAGAATTCTCTTTCAGTTGTATCTTCATACTTTTTTCAGATAAACCTTGACTTTTAGATTGATTCACTGGTAAAGTAAATGTTAATACTTTTTTCATAGATCCCTTTTATTTCCTTTTATGTTTTGATCATATATTCTATATTGTATAGTTAGCCATCTTGAAAATGCATTTTGATAGAAAAGCAACCTATATGTGACTACTTTCTCTCTGTCCAACATTAACATTTATTTAAATAAAATTAACATTTATTTAAATCAAAGAAATAATCTATACTGAGAATCGGATTATGGCATTTTGGAATCACTTGGGTTTAAATTTCTACTCTTTAAATCAGAGGTCTCCAAACTTGGCAACTTTAAGACTTGTAGACTTCAACTCCCAGAATTCCTCATTCTGGGAGTTGAAGTCCACAAGTCTTAAAAGTTGCCAAGTTTGGGGACCGCTGCTTTAAATCTTCTACCCTTATAGCACGGGTGTCGCACTCACCATGTTATGTTGCCGTCACGTGACGTATCATGACATTTTTTTCCCTTTGCAGATCTGGGGTGGGCATGGCCTGTGTGTGTCACATCCGGCCCGTGGGCCGTCAGTTTGACACCCCGGCCTTATGGGCTAAAACGGAGGTTATTATCCATTATATATTTAAAAGCTTTATTTTAATGTATTGATAACCAGGCTACCCGGTTAGTTCAAGATCAGTCATCAGACCTTGAGATGCATGCGCAGCGTTCCCAGTTTCTGGAAGATAACGATGATCAAAGCAAAAGATCTTACAGGTATGTCATATTTCAAAAGGTAGTTATACGTAAGTTTTGCTGGCATTAAGCCAGAATTAAAGTTTTCACATGTTCCGAGGTATTCATCAATGCCTTTGTTTCATTTTATTCAATGTAAACTTTCATTTTAATAGGTGTGAGTATTGCAATAAGGGGTTCAAGAAATCTAGCCACTTGAAGCAGCACGTCCGTTCACACACTGGGGAGAAGCCTTATAAGTGCCAACTGTGTGGCCGGGGATTTGTCTCTTCCGGAGTTCTTAAATCTCATGAGAAAACACATACAGGTGATGAAATTTTGGTAATCTTTGGTTCCCTTGCAAATCCTTTTGGCTTATTTAAAATGGACAGTACAATGGGATTCAAGCCCAGAGATACAGGTAGTCCTCGACTTAGGACCATAATTGACCCCAACATTTCTGTTGCTAATTGAGACAGTTGTTAAGTGAGTTTTGCCCCATTTCTTGCCATTGTTGTTAAGTGAATCGCTGCAGCTGTTAAGTTAGTAACATGGCTGTTAAGTGAATCTGGCTTCCCCATTGATTTTGCTTGTCAGAAGGTTACAAGCAGTGATCACACGATGCCGGGACACTGTGACCATCATAAACATGAGTCAGTTGCTAAGCATCTGAATTTTGATCATATAACCATGGAGATGCTGTAACAGTTGTAAGTGTGAAAAATGGCCATAGGTCACTTTTTTCTTTTTCTTTTAATAAACTTTATTAGTCTTTTATTTCTTTTAAAAACAAAAAGATAATCATTACATTAACAGTTGTATGACATCAATCTCATACATTCCTATCTTTTGTGCATATTTACAAATATATATAATTTGTGCAAGTATATACATTTAATCTATAAATTGCTTATCTTAAATTCCTTCATTTTCCTTTTTTCCCCTTCAAACTATACTTTATTAAACTTTTATTACATTAAAAACATCAAAAAAATATATCACTCAACAACAATTTGTAGTGATTCTCTTATGACACTAATTCATATATTGTTTACAGATATTATAGCATTACATATTTTTATTTTTCTATTCATTAGCAACTTCAATTTTTTTTAGATAAAGTTTTTTATTTTTAAACGCAAACATACACATACAAAAACATAAAACATAAAATCCTCTTCCATTTTATGTACATACAGTATGTCAGTTGGTTACATATCTTTTGTGCTATACTTTTGTTGTCATTTACTCACAATTTATATCTTCACATTGTCAAACTAACATATGTTTATATATTTATCAGTTATTAATCATCCATGATTAAACTATTTATTCCATCATTTTATACGAGGTGTTCCACATTTTATCTTAAAATTTATGTTATACTTTCAACCAGTGGTTATATATATCTGTATTATGTTTTATATCAATCTATTAGATTTCTATCACAAAATTATCTAGTCTATTATATTACCATGCTTATCCAACCATTGATAAAACAAATCCCATATCATATAAAATTGCTTATCTTCTTGTTCTTTAATTTCAAATGTCAGTTTACTCATTTCAGCACAGTCCATAATTTTTTTTATAACTTCCTCCTGAATAGGTATTTTGTCATTTTTCCAGTTTTTCGCAAATACAATTCTAGCTGCTGTTAGGACATTTACAATGAAATATTTCAGTTCTTTATTATATATGACTGATATGACTCCCAATAAAAAGATCTCTAGTTTAAAGTCTATATGCTGTTTTATCATTTTTTTCCAACCATGTGTGGATTCTAGTCCAATATTTTTTTGCATCTGAACATGTCCACCACATATGGTAATATGAACCAGGTATCTGATGACATTTCCAGCATTTATCCGATTTATTCTTAAACATTCTCTCAAGTCTCCTCGGGGGTAGGTGCCACCTGTAAAACGTCTTATACAAATTTTCTTTAAATGCAGTTGACATTGTCATTTTGTAATTTTGAGACCACAATTTTTGCCATTTTTCCAAATCAATCCCATATCCAAAATTTCCCCCCCAAGCAATCATCGTTTCTTTAACTTGCTCCTCCTCCAATTTAAATGCTAATAGATATCCATAAAGGTTTTAATTACCTTTTCATCAGTACCCATCAAAATTTTATCTAAGTCAGTCAACTTATCATAAATACCTTCTGCCTTAGAGTCTTTATCAAACCTAGATTGTATTTGCAAATAAGAAAATCAATTCATTTTTACACCTTGTTCTTGCAACGTTTGCATAGATTTAAGTTCACCCTTTTCATTCAATAACTCCCCATATCTGTTTGTTCCTTTTTATATATTATTGGATAAGAAAAAGCTTCAATAGTTGATATTCATATTGGAATTTTTAAGTAATACTGTCTTATAATCTTCTCCCAGCTCAAAAACAATGCCTCACGAATATAATATCTTCTAAATTACCCCTGTGTTTTAGTTCCCTCATACCAGAGAAAGGCATGCCATCCCAGCAGCAAGTCGTGGCCTTCTAAAGTCAATAATCTACTCTTCCTTAGTGTTATCCATTCCTTTACCCACATCAAACTTATTTACAGATATTAAATTATGCATAATTACATTCTTATTTTATCTATTACTTATGGTTAATAACTATCTATCTTTAATCTTTCTCCATTCTATCCAGTTATACCATTGTTCCCACACCTTATAAAATATCAATGTCTCTTTATCTTTTAAGCTCAACGTTAATTTGTCCATATCTGCGCAGTTCATAATTTTTTGTATAACAAGTTTCTCTTGAGAGTATGCATGGCTGTTTCCAACATTGAGCAAAGGCAATCCTGGCAGCAGTTAATATGTGTAATAGTAAATATTTTGTACTCTTTACATTTTTTTTTTTTTTGAAGATCTCCAATAGGAAGAGTTCCGGTTCTAGTTCTAATTGTTCATTAGTCACTTTTTTCACTGTCGTAACTTTGAATGGTCACTAAATGAACTGGCACAATGCAAAGGACTATCTGTATTTAATTCATCTTCCATTCACCATGTCAATAATAATTTATTGAAAGCTGCTGTGCAATCCAAAGAAAAAATAGATGTAGGCAATCGTGACCATTTTCAGAAAGTGGAATGTACATCGCTTTGATCATGGAGATTCCATTTAATTAACAGAATTCAAAGTTACCAGTTACAAAATCATTTGAAATTCTCACTCAGCCATGAAGCTCATTTCGTGACAGAACAAGTCAGTCTTTATGACACGAATTTCATAGGATTGTTTTCAATATTTTTGTAAGAGAGGAGTAACTTTATGTTGCAGCTGAATGTAGATTAAAATGTAGTGAATAAATAAAAAATAAATACATCTGTGGAACTAAGTGGAAGTCATCAGAATATGTTTTCACATTTGCTTTTGTTTTGTATAATTTTTGTATCATTTTTGATGTATAGACAAATTATACAACCGCTACTTCCCATTTCTATTTACTTTCCTCTGTTTTTTCCCCCAGGAGTTAAAGCATTCAGTTGCAGTATTTGTAATACTTCCTTCACCACCAATGGAAGCCTTACTAGACATATGACAACTCATATGAGTATGAAGCCCTACAAGTGCCCATTTTGTGATGAAAGCTTCAGAACCACAGTTCACTGCAAAAAACATATGAAAAAGCATCAAACAGTGTCTTCAACAGCAGCAACAGGTGGAGAGGTAGCAGGAGGGGGTAAGCAACTTTCTCTGTGTAGCAGAAAAGCATATTACAATTAGCCTCCACTTATGACTGGTTGTTTAACTAGCATTCAAAGTCTTGGAAAGAGTGCTCTATAGCTCATAAAGCACTTCGGGCTATTGTAAAATATTGGATCTCCTCCTCCCTGTCACATGACTGTATTTTCAGTACTTGGCAATTGGCTCACATTTATAGCCAGTTGCCAACACCCTGTGATCATGTGATTGCCATTTGCAATTTTCTCTGCTGGCTTCCCCAGAAAGTCAGTGGGGAAGCCAGCAGAGAAGGTTGCAAGGGGATGTGGGGGGAGAGTGGATCTGAAATCCTTTGTGCACAGAAGTGAAGGAAAGCCCTTGGTGGGCTATCAGGAGGATCTCAGCAGGCAGATCTTTTGTTCTGTCTCTTTTAACAACCTGGAGATCACGTAACAATCACAACCTAGAGTTCCATTACAGTTATTGAGCAAAGCAGTGGTGGGCATCTCACTTAGCAAACATTTTGTCCAAAAAGATTCTGGCCCCAATTGTACTGATAAATTGAGAATTAGCAATAAATGTTCTTTAGCATAAAAAATATAGGACTTTTTTTTGCCTGGAATTGTATAAGTTTTATAATCTGAAAGAGAACATGCATCACAGTATTGTGTTCTTAGTTGACATAGAACATGTAGTGGCTTTGAAGATACATTTCTAATGCCCTTTAATTTATACTTTTGTGCAATTGCTACGAATAACTGGATTTTGCATTAACATCCATGAAGTTTCTTTGACATTACTAGGTCTTTAAAAATGTTCCTTCCCTATTTAATGATGCAGACGAAGAAGAGGCAACATCTGAAAAGACAAGCTCTCGAAAATCTAGGCCGGGTGTTATCACATTCACGGAGGAGGAAACAGCTGAACTTGCAAAAATTAGACCTCAGGAAAGTGCCACTGTCTCTGAAAAAGTTCTCGTCCAGTCTGCAGCCGAAAAGGACAGGATTAGTGAAATCAAAGACAAACAAGCGGAAATGGAGGCTGAGCCAAAATATGCCAATTGTTGTACTTACTGCCCAAAAAGCTTTAAAAAACCAAGTGACTTAGTTAGGTAAGTGAATGTAGATTTTTGTTTTTAGTTTTGCTATACAAATTCTATTACTTTGCAGTTTACTTTCTTTCATCTTTAATTTAAAGGAAGAGACAGACAATTTTCCAATCATAGACTGCATGTAAGAATGAGAAAATAGGTACCACCTGCCACACCAACTAGTTTGTACTATCTCTGAATAACTCTATAAGATAGTCTGACTTCTCAATGTTGGCAGGGTCTCATCTATCAGTGCAGTACCAACTTCATCCTCAATATTTTGATGACATTATTTTCCAGTTAGAAGCTAGTCATACTGAAACCGAGTTTTGAAAGCATTTTGCAGTAAAGTGTAGATATCGCTCTTTTACCTCAGGTTCTTTGGATTTTATCAGTGATAGTAAAATGCCATAGGTTTTATTACTTTTGAAGAGTTCATATTCAATGATACGATTAAATGCACCCACAGATAGCTGAGATTTTAATGTTTTTCGTTTTTCTCATAGGTACACATAAAAGTTGTGATCATCTGCAGCAAAGCACTAGTTTTGACTACTTAAATGACAACTGGTCTATGAAATACTATTTTTATCATCCTCTTCAGATTACAATTTTTCCATCAAATAATTCTTTATTGTTTATTTTACAAAGTTATGTTGACCACCAGGAGGCAGTATGTGATTGGCTTCATCCTTATTGAAACTCATCAGGTGTACATCTGATGAGTCCCAATAGGGGTGAAACTAGACATATATTACATCCTGGTGATCAGTACAACTGAAAATATCATATAGGTTACATATACTGTATAAAACACAAAAAAATCTCCCCCCTCATCCCAGTAGTGGAGGTGAAAGTCATTTAATTCTGTATAGGAAAACATGGCATAAGGTAACAACTGACTCTGAGTTGAAGAAAAGTGGATTGTATATAGAAATTTCTTCACCCATGTCAATTTATTTACAATATTTATCTCCTAATCTGTACTCAGAATCAAGTTTGGAAAGTACAGTATATTGTAGGCAAATTAAAGGAAAAAAAAGTTTTTACTGTGTTCTTAGGCTGCGTTGAATATAGACCATAACCTAACTAAAGATGAAGCCTAACTGAAACTTCTTAGCTATTGTAATTGTATATATACAAGAGCTATTGTATATTATGTAATAAACATAATATAATGATTAGAACAAATATCTTTGGCTAGGCACGTACGTATCCATACGGGAGAAAAACCTTACAAATGTGATGAATGTGGAAAAAGTTTTACTGTAAAGTCGACTTTGGACTGTCATGTAAAAACACACACAGGTATGTAAGATCATGAGCACTTCCAACTTAATTAGATAATAGTGAATAAACATCAGATATATTGTACTTTGTATTTTAGGCTGATAATCTGGGAAAGATACTTTCTAATGAATTAACAGTTTAGCTTTTAATACTTAAGTATACAGTTTGGTTTTCCTCCCGACATTCATTTCTTCCTCCACTTATTTATCTAAAAGGTGGTTAAGCCAATATATTTGGGGAATACTAGCATTCTTTGTCTAGTTATGATCTAAAAGGATTTCCCCCCCCAAAAAAACTCAAAAACTTAGGAGTAGGTTATGGTTTAGGAGGAAGTCTCGTTTAAACAAATTTTTATCAAATAATATAAAACATGAATGCTGGTTTAATGTCCAAACAAAATCTAGCATAAATTTATATGTGATCAGAAATAATGTGTATTTTGCTGTACACTATTTCATTATTCTCCAGGTCAGAAACTTTTCAGCTGCCACGTATGTAGTAATTCATTTTCTACAAAAGGGAGTTTGAAAGTTCATATGCGTCTACATACTGGAGCAAAGCCTTTTAAGTGTCCACATTGTGAGTTAAGGTTTCGGACTTCTGGCCGCAGGAAGACTCATATACAGTGCCATTTTAAATCAGAGGCCAAAAAAGCCAGGAAAGCTGGCTCTCGTGCTCCAGCCAAAGGTCTACAGCCAGTCAGTCTTCTGAATTCATCCACAAATGATCCTAATGTTTTCATCATGAATAACTCTGTGCTGACAGGCCAGTTTGACCAAAATTTGCTCCAGCAAAGTATCGTTGGTCAGGCTATCCTTCCTGCTTCTATGTCAGGTAAACCTGGAAGTGTTTCATTCTATTTTCCTGGGGAGGGGGGGTCAGTTTGAGAAAGGTGATGTAGAAATGTTCATGCTGTTCAAAATCAAACTCTTCTACAGCTCCTATTAATGTTGACAGAGAGACTTTCAAGACAGATGTTGGTACAGTCACATCTGTTTGGGCTCTCTGGACAGAGGCTTCCACAGATGATTTAATTAAGCCTCTCCATCTTTGTGTAGTTTATAACTTACGATTTACAGGTGTGTTTGAAAGTCATGCAGGGTTTTTTGTGGGGAAATGCTTGGGTTATATTAGGAAAAAAATGCAGTTTTACTCTTATGATTACAGGGCTTCTATCTTTCCTTACGATATGATTATTGATATCTTGGAAATAAGATATAATAACTATTAAATTGAAGAGAACGATAAAATATTTTAAAAATTCAATCAGCTGCTTCATAAAATTAGCAGTAAATCACATGGCTAAAATATCTAGCAAAATTATTGAAAACCATAAATTCTGGTAGATTTATTATATATTATAGAAGGCTAATAATTATTTTGGTGCAAATAGTTTTAGCCATTTAGTATATATGTATTTTGTTATGTCATTCCCATTCTTATGTATATCCACTTACTTAAATTTATTTGTATGTATAGAATGCACACACTTTCTGATTTCATTGCCATCAAAATCAATTGGGATTAATCAATTTGGCACTTTTTTACATACACAGTACCAATTTTATGGTTTTATTGGTATTACCACTATGCAGTATTGTATATTTATTTAAAAGAAAGATTCATTATTCAGTAAGGCATTCCTCAGTAAGTGTTTTAGGTTTTCAGTTTTAATTATTGTAGTATAGCTTGCTTAATTCACTCATGTAGAATAAGGATTAATTCATGTTTAATCTTTTGTATATAAAAACTGGAATATATATAAAATATGGCTGTTTTCTTTGGTAGCTGGAGGTGATTTAACTCTATCCTTGACAGATGGTAGTTTGGCCACCCTTGAAGGAATACAGTTGCAACTTGCTGCCAACTTGGTTGGACAGAATGTTCAAATTTCTGGAATAGATCCTAGTAGCATTAACAACATTACTTTACAGGTGGGTTTATTCTATATTATCCTTCATAAGCTGTTAAATAAATTATGCATATGCAAATGCCCATAAACCCTTGCTTTTAATCTTCAGGTCTTTCATTTAATGACTACATAGTGTTTTAAATGCTGTTTTTTCTTTCCTTCCTACAAGTAATTCTCTTTGCATAATTTCTATTGCTCACTTATTTAGAATTTGGATTCCTAATTATACCTAATTTCTCAAAAAAATTGAATGCTTAAGAGATTATAGGTATCCCTCTAAAAGGGGATTTACAATAGCTGAATTGATAAATGTGAAAAATAACTCATATTTATCATAAGACATATTGCTGAGAATGTTTCTTGTTATCTTTCTGACCCAGTATCTCTCCTATTTTATATTTGAAAGTTTTTATCAGGAGATGATGCACTGAAAAGAAAGCCGTTGACTTGCAGCTGTCCAACGTTTTGATTTTCTAAGAAAGTTAATCACGTTCATGTAGAGTTCAGAACCTTTCTTATAAATAATACTTGACACTTTGCTTTGAACAGGCCAACTTAAAAAAAATAATTCTAAAAGGTCTTCAGATGGAATAAAAAGTGTGCTGAATGCCAATGGACATGAAAAATTTAGATGTTTTAATGCTAAAAAGGAAAATGAAGTGGCTCAGATTCACAAAATACAACTTCTGGCAGAATTCATATTTTATTTAATACCTGCCAATGGTTGGCTGATATTTGAAATAAGCCAATGTAACATTGCCACAAAACATTAAAACTATCCAGCTTTTGTAAGATTGAACAGGTTATTATCTATGAGATGAGCCAACTTTTGTTGCTTGGATATTATAGTTTTACTCTACTCAGGGTTAGAAAATAAAAATGGAATATATTCCTATTGGACTTGTTTCTTTTCAGATTGACCCCAGTCTTTTGCAACAGACTCTTCAGCAGGGTAATATATTGACCCAGCAGCTAACAGGAGATCCCAGTTTGGCATCTCAGAACTCCTCCCTACAGACAGCAGAAAGTACAGTGTCAGCAGCAAATGTGGTAATACAGCCTTTGTCAAGCTTGTCCTTACAGCCCAATGTTACTTCTTCAGCAAATATGGCAATGGCTGAGCAAGAATCTGTATTGGCTACAACTACTTCAGGTAAATATAGTAGAAAAGCAAATTAATCTGAAAAGCTTTTTGATTAAAATTATCTAAATTCTTCTTATTTTCCTATCTTATAATCATACCACTATAATCTGATAAAACACATATTTCTAATAATAAAATTTTCTAAAATAGATCAAGATAGGGCCATCTTATGCTCACAGGCCAGAAATTTAATTCACTTCTCTTAGGAATATCACCCTGAAATCATTTGTGATCCTCCTGAGAAAAAGCTGGCCTATTTCTGAGTTCTGAACTGAGGGATATTTTTCTATCTTTTAATTACTTAAATAATATAAATTATGATTGCTTAATACTTTTGGAAAAACCAAAGATTTGATTCCTCATTGAGGATGGTTGTACAAATAATCACTTGCAGGAGTCTGGAAGAAAATTCTTCAGATTAGTCCCAAGAATCACAAACAAACTTCTTCAGATCTTACCCAGATAGACCACCTGTTTTGTGATTGTGATTCCAATTTTTGGATTATCTATATGGCAACCATTCATGTGTGATATATATCAAATCCAGCTCTCTTACATTTTTTACAGTTTTATGTCCAATACTGTTCTAACATTACATATGACTAATGTAAAGCCTGACTACTTTTACTTAGTTTATTTTACTTATGTTCAGGTTCACAGGATCTCTCTCAAGTTATGACTTCACAGGGAATGGTATCAACTGCCAATGGTCAACATGAGATTACGCTGACAATAAATAGTTCTGCTCTGAGTCATGTTTTAACTCATGCTTCTAGTTCAACCACTACCAATTCATCAGGAACCCCTCAAGAGATCACCCTTACTATATCTGGCAAGTATAATTGTGAAATTATTCTGATTCTTCTCCATTGATTTTTTTTAATGAAACATACTCATTTGCAGGTTTGTTTTAGGGATTAAAAATGTAATGTTATAGTATGTTTTGTACAAATGTTCTCTTTGATCTTTAACTGATTAGTACCAATCAAATTATTTATATACATATAAAAAGGCAAGTACTACTCACTCATCACGAAATCTCCAGAACCGTAAAGTTTACAAACTAGAAATTTGGCACGTATGTTCCTCTTGGTTTCTAGGTGCTCACTAAGAAAGGATTTTTCAAAATGACCATCAGATCATTAGTATTTCTTATACAGTAATTAACATGCTCTGATGCAAAGGAGTTCTACTCCCCCTCCCCACTTGAAAAGAACTCTGTTCCAATTGCTAGTTGCCTCACATTCCGTTACCTCAGTTCTAGCTGGCAGACATTCCACTCCTTCACTCAGGAGCGCCCTGGGGCTCCTTACAGTACTAAACATTTGTAGCTCACCAAAATGTGTACGCCTTCCACCTATGGACCTGCTTCCGGACTCAAGGCGGCGGGAGCGATATTCCCTTATTTGTTTCAATCACCAACCACCACTGAGCCAACGGTGAACCAAATTTCTCCTGCATAGCCCAAACACAAAGTTTCGTCCAGAACCATGGGTATCCAGTTAGTACATTATAGAATTTTATTTTTTTTAAATTTTGAGGTTTCTGGTGAAGAGAAACTACTGCACATGTTTCTGCTTCACATGTTTATTTCATATATATGGCAATATATGATCTATATTGTAAAATAATTCATAATTATATACTTTGAACTTGACATGATGCAGCATACTTGTCTCTCAGTTTGTTATACGTGAGAATAATTCTGTGCTTTATTTCATTATAGATATGCTCTATGTACATATTGATCCTGTCAGTACACATAAAAATAGGATGCAGTGGACCCTTTAAATGTAAAGCTTAGTCATACTGAAACTTTCATTCTGAAGTTTTTATTATTTTCTTTTCAAAATTAAAACTGCTCATTTTAAATAATATTAAAATTTATAAAGTTTCATGATGGCTCTAATTGCTGAGAGCTTTGTTACTGTAAAAGGAAAGTGAACCTTAGATCTGAAGTGGCTAAACCATTCCATTTTCTATTTAGGCCAAGATCTTATCCAACACATTTCCTCTGGCAACAATGAGCTGAATGGGAACCTACGATTGGCAACACCTAATATCACTAATCAATCACCTTCTACCACGCTAACTATAAATAATGATCAATTACTGTCTCAGAACCCAACGTTGAATAGTTCTTCAGGTAGGTTTTCTTTATTTTCCTCAAATTTGCTAGTTTGCACATAATTACTTAGAACTATTTTGCAGTGAACTCAACGGAATTTACATTTGAAAAGATATTATAAATTATTAATTTGAACCACATGGTTATCTTTAGTAGGAAGTATTTGAGACAGCCACGCTTTGGAGGAATAGGCTCATGGAGAGAATGAGATTTACCTTGTCAAGGTGCAAATATGACACAGCTTACCTTCCCAAGGGGCTTAAGTTCAGTCCAAAAACATGTACCCACAGAAGTCACTTCCAATGCTAGAACTGCCAAGCAAGAACTTGCAGTCATTAAAGGCATCCCGTTTCACTGTGATGGGGAGGGTATGTTGTTTTGCATTATGTTTTCAAAATAGCAAGAGCATTTAGACATATATATCGCTTCACAGTGCTTTACAATCCTCTCTAAGCGATTTACAGTGTCAGCATATCGCCCCCAATAATCTGGGTCCACATTTTACTGACTCAGAAGGATGGAAGGTTGAGTCAACCTTGAGCCGGTCAGGATCGAACCCCTGGCAGTGGGAATGCAGAGTTAGCCTGCAATACTGCATTCTAACCAGTGCGCACTACACACTTTTATTGGAAATAAAAGATTTCCATACCCGTTAAGAGCTGTGGATCGGGACAATGCCTTTGCAACTCCTGTCGATCAACATTACTTGGAGCCTGGCAGTTTATGTTTCCTCAAGACATAAAAGTAGAAATGATTGCTTTGCACAGATTTTCATCACACCAAAGTAAATCATTTGAATATTTGAACATCCTTGTAATCTAAATTCCTGTTCACCTTAACCTAAATTTCAGTGCACTTTGTGTTTGCTTGCCTGATAGCTTTAATTTAGGAATTCAAGGCAATACACATAGCATTCTCTTCTCTTGTTTCCCCCCCACAGCAATCTTCTGAGATAGGCTGAGCTAAAAGTGTGGTCCCTTTTGAGGTAGACCAGGTTAGGAGGCAAATACCCAAGAAAATACATTATGATACAGGTAGTCCTCAACCACATTTAAGCCCAAAATTTAGGTTGCTAAATGAAACATTTGTTAAGTGAGTTTTGCCCCATTTTACAATCTTTCTTGCCACAGTTGTTTAAATGAATTATTGCAGTTGTTAAGTTAGTAACATTTTTAAGTGAATCTGGCTTCCCCCATTGGCTTTGCTTGTCAGAAGGTCACAAAAGGGGATCATGTGATCCCTGAACACTGCAAGCATCATAAATACGAACCAGTTGCCAAGCATCCGAATTTTGATCATGTGACCATGGGGGTGCTGCAGTAGTTGTAAATGTTGTAAAACAAACTTAAGTCACCTTTTTTCAGTGCTGTTGTAATTTTGAAGGGTCACTAAATGAATTGTTATAAGTCAAGAACTACCTATATAAGCTATAATAACAGAATCTTAAAAACCTGACAGTTTATCTTTCCCTTTCTTATACCCAAGATAATCATGCTGGACCAGACTTGATTTTTTCCCCCTCACTCTCTCCTTCTTTTCAGGCAAAATTGATATTTTGGTAATGACTACGATATATTTTCTTCAAAGCCATTTTCAAACCCTCTGCTGAGAGAATGAATTACCCAAGGTTGTTCAGTTTGGTCTTCCACCAAACATGCTGACTTTCCCATTACAAATTACACTAGTGCAACCTTCCTAATCCTGACATTCTAAATCGAACATATGTTAAGCATATTAATCAGGCCAAGTAATCCCAAGACATTACACCATATACAAGCTAATGTCATTTAAGCTCTTGTTAAAATCTCTGTGATTCCAACCTATTCTGTTAAATTTGTTGCGTACAGAATGAGGGCAGGTATACATTAATTTATTTTAATTGTTTTAAATTAAAAAAAAAATAAATTTAATTTTTTTTAACAATTTTAACTGTTAGGAATACACATCTTTTCCAAGGGGTGAGTAGCACAGAACTGTTTTGGAGTAAGATACTTACAGTTGTAGTTGGAACTTAAATTTTGCATAGGTTACAAAATGGCTAAATAATGAAGAATCTAAGAATGTTGTACATGCTCCCCCTATTATGAATTGTGATTCTGATTTTGAATTCTTACGATATACATTTTGTAGAACTCAACACTTCAAGCGGAAACCTTCCAACGACACCACCCTTGTCTCAGGCAGCTCAGAACCTAGTAATGTCATCCCCAGGTGTAGGAGGAGATGGTAGTGTTACGTTGACCCTGGCTGATACTCAGAGTATGTTATCTGCTGGTCTTGATGCAGTGACACTTAATATCACTTCACAGGTTTGTGTCATTTCTCTGATCTATTCTATCCTCCTCTCAACATTTGCTAAAAAAATTTTTCAAAACTTGAAAAAAAGAATTAAGATAACTGTAGGTTAATCCTGCTTGTAAAGCAATGAGTATTTTTAAAAGTGTGCTATATACCTCGTTCTTCATGTGGTTTCGACTTTGTATGTAATTGAATTTTTGTGTATGTTTCCTAAGGTTAAGATGAAACATTCAGGTTTTGCATCCAAATTTCTGTTGTCCCCTGCCCCCCTTCTTGCTATTTTTTTTTGCTTCCTAAAACTTGCTCCAGATAATATGGAATTCTAAAGAATTCCATATTATGGAATTAAGAACTGCAGGGGGAAGCACAGATTAGCAAATATGGCTCCCTTCTTTTCTCCCCAGGAAGCATTGAATTAGTGGGACAAGAAATTCTGTTGTGCCCTTTTGTTTGCAGAACAATAGTTTGAATCCAGCTAACCACTAACTCTCATCAATTACAAAGGACGATTGTTTTCTCTTAATTTTCCCATTAATTTATCTACATGTGACCTATCCATAGATTAAATATAAGCAGTAAGAAGAAAATATAGAAGAAAGTTACATCTTTGGGAGATATTTTAAATGTAGAAGTTTGTTAAAGAAGGATATAGAATATGATACAAATATGAACATGGATAATACAAATTGGTGCTTCTTTTGGTTGTATGGTTTTTAAAACAAAGTGTAGCATATAGGCGAGTTGGGCAGTAGACAAGTCTAATAGTTATTATACGAAGAAGAATCTAAAGTGCTTTGGGACTTTAGAATTCAAACTGATAGGTACCTGCCATTTAAAACCCCAGACTTAGCAATTGTCAACGAAAAAACAGAAGAAGAAAAAAGAAAGAAAAAAATCTGGACAGTGGCCGTGGCAGTACCTGGAGACACAGAATAGAAGAGAAAGAACTGGAGAAGATACAAATATACAAAGACCTGCAAATATAAATAAAAGGACTATGGCAAAAGAAAGCAAAAGTGGTACCAATAGTAATAGGAACTTTGGGTACAGTCCCAGAACAACTGGAGCACCATTTGAACACCTCTGGCTTTGACAAAATCACCATCAGTTAATTGCAAAAGGCAACTTTACTCTGAACAGCTTACATCTTGCGACGATACCTTTAACACATCTACATTTGCCTATCCCAAGTCTTCAGGGTTCTGATAAATCGATAAGTATACCTAATCTAGTCTGAACATCTGGCCGACTGTTCTACGACCATACTTTTTAAGTGACAGACAGATTAGAGAAAGAAATGTAGTGGGCAATACTGAAACATGCACCAAGGATATACATCTCACCCCAAATCAATTAACTGCAAAAGTCACAGTTAATCCCTCAAGGATTAAGGGGTTAATCATGGATTAAGCCTCGTGGTTTTCATACAATGGCCTTGAGAGCTATGAATAAAATATTTTTTTCCAATCATTTATCAGAATACATTATATAATGCTGCATCTTCATTGCTTTGCTCTTAGTAGCCAAATCAAAGTATGTAAAGCTGAAATAAATGTTTGTTAGTTTTTTTACATAGCCTTCTCAACTTTGGTTTTCTCCCTTATGTTTAGTTTTTTTTAAAAAAATAATTAACAAGTGACAAATGCTCTTGAATTTTGTTAGTACTAACAAATTGATGGTGCTGTAAGTGTGATTTATTGGGCAGATTTCAGATTTAATACAAAACTTTAATTAATGTGATAATAGGATATCAATAAATTAATTTTACATTACATATTATTGCATTTAGGATAACTTAGCATTAGACAAATTAAATATTTTGGGGTTATTAATAGAATAAGAGCTTAAACTTTTTATTTAGCTGTGATATTAGATTATATAATGTAATTTTATCTATTGGTAATTTAGTTACCTGTGCGTGGAAAGTTTAAATAATAAATATGTTAATTGACTTAGACTTTGATTATATGAATTAGTTGCACATTTTACTAAACATTTGGAAATTTCTTTGTCAGGGTCAACAGTTCCCTGCTTTACTCACAGATTCTACTCTCTCTGGCCAGACCAATTCAAGTTCACAGCAGGTCATCCTAGTCAGCCATGCTCCACATTCAGTACCTGCAAACCATGATGAATTAACTTACCAGGTAAGTGGTCTTCATTAACCTTTCCTGAATGACAACGCAGTCAATTCAATTTGTGTCTTGTATCTGAGGTTGTCATTTATCTTGCTCATTTATTTCATTAGGGATAGTATCTATGAAAACTTCAATTTGACAAGAGTTTTGCCCTTCCAAGGAGAATTTGAGATGGCATTATATTAAATGTAGTATTTGTCATTTTTCTAAATGAGACCTGAAGTGCAGTCCTTTATATAGGGAGCCTGTTATTCAATAGGAATTACTCCAGATGGTGTGTATTATAATATTCTCCGGACTAATATACTCTCCCAGTATATTAGATATTGTCAATTGCCATAATCCCCCTGTCTGTGTGGCCTCTAATTAATGGATTCTGAAACTTGGAAGTCCAATATATCTAAGTAATTTGTTTGAAGAAACTCATCCAGTATATGGAACTGTAGCCTTCGGCTGATGATATTTTTATTCACAGCTATCTTAGTGAATTTAATACAGCATATTTTTGCATAGATACACTTTATTGGTGTAAGATGCATTTTTTTTTTAATTTTAAAGTCAAAATTTGATTCTCTCATGTGATTGTTTTATTCTTAATATTTATTTTATCTTGTTCCTCTATGCTCTGGTTGCACCTCATCAGCACCTCATCATTATTGTTTAATTCTTCTGATTTTCTCTTATATCACTTATATGAAACCTACTATTATTATGATGCTCTTTTGGATTTTTTTAGGATAGTTTTTCAAATTAATTATGATTATTGTGTTAATGATTGTTACTTGTGAATTTTATAGCTGGATTAGCTTGGCTCATTTTTTTCCAACAGCATCTTATAAAATTCCCTAAATGAGCAATAGTGAAGATTGCTCATGTTGTTTGTATCCAGCTTCTGGAGAATCTTTGAGCAAGGAGGCTCTGTTTAGTTTGATTAATAGACCCTACATACATTTTGCTTTTTTTTTTAAATTAATTGAATTTAAATGTGATGTCTATAAAGCAAGAAAATGTACAACTTCCTGTTTTTCCGGTTTGGCCTATTCATTGCTGGCCTTGACAGATGCCTTACTAGTGTGCTAACCTTACATTTGAAATAATTTAATTTAAAGTATCCCTTTAAAATGGGCTGTCTGATGAGTGCAGTATTCTTTAGGAAGTAGTCCTTGCCCACCTAGTTAACCTAAAATCCTGGATAGCAAGATTTTGCAATGTGTACAGTATGTACAGTAATACATGATTCAAAATATGACTACTTTTGATATTTGATACTTTCTTGTCTGATCTTTGCACTGAGGCTTTAAAGAAGAGAATAAAGTGTTAAAAGTCAGATCATATTTTTTTCAGTTTAATATTTATGACTTTGCTGTACTAAAAACTCCCATATCTCTATTGATTGCCTTCACATCCTTTTTAGGAGAATATTATATTCAAATATGTAATTTATTATTTCTATTTGACTTAGTTTTCCAGATGTACTATGCAAAAAAAAAATTTGCTTAAATATGACTAACTCTGCAGTAAAGAGTGGTACTATCAAGTCATTTAACTTCTCAGCAATTTCTGCTTTTCTTTCAATACAGTACCAGCTCCTTTGCCACTATAGCTGATTTCTTACAGCTAATATGCTTTAACATAGAGTTTTGGTATAGCTGTGCTCTACTGTATTTGTTAATTGTTTCTTACTACCGTGTTTCTCACATAATAAGGCCGGGCCTTATTTTTTTTTGACCCCCGAAAAAACGGCTAGGACGTCTTTTCGGGGGTGACTTAATTTC